AAACTTTTCCCTACCTGTTCCTTATGAAGACCTGTCCTAAAATCCTAGTTACAATTTTACTAGATCAAGTTCCTTGAATCTGTATTTCCTTTATCCATAAAGAGTTAAGGAAGGAGTTTGTATGAGATAATTTAAAAATAAAAACCCTTCTAGAATATGGAATACACAACTGAAAAACTAAACCCATTGCCATTTTGTCCTGATTCATAGCTTCCTTCCACTGGGTTTCCAAGGCTGTAAATCTTAATGGGAAGAGACTGCCTGCCCATTCTTCTCCCTGAGTAGGTGGTGGGTGTGAACCACTGACCTTTTAAATAGCAGCTCAAACATAACTTTGTCAAACAGAGCTCCCTTGTGTAGACATGCTACTAAAAACTCACTGCAGTGGAGTAGATACTGACTCAGTGACCCTTCTCTGATTTTCTGAGATTGCAAATCATTTTAGGGCACGGTCCATCTTTTTTTCCTCAGAGGGGTAGGTGGACTTGATCTATCAACATTTAGGATAGCAGCACTGCCACCAGGGGGTCCTTCCAACACTTTATATAAATGCTCCCAAAAAAACACGAGCGATCTTTGGAAAAATCCTAGAAAACATTTTCATTTTAGCCTTGAAGTTCACAGCCCAGGTTATATAGGCAAGTAACCTGGGGAGCTCAAAAAAAAATCCATGTCCTGTCCTGTCCTCACCTGTTTTTTCCAGAATAGGGCATGGTATTTTTTTGCAATCTAAGCCTTTCGTTGCTCTAAAATCAAGGGTGTGTATGTACATGCACATGTATATGTACACACTTACACACACACACTATGTACCCATATATATGTGCTTCACAGACTAAGAAAAACATGAGATTAACGAAGAACGAAACAACTGCAGGCCTTAACTGAGACTGAAAGCTGGTAACACGCTTGGCAGGTTCTTAGAGTCTATTTTTAATGTTGAATCCACATGAGTTCCTGTAATACTGGGGCAAAAGATTTACATAGTTTACATAGTATCCCTTTGAATTTGTAAAATCCAGATGATTTCCTAAATTAAAATCTTGGAAATCCTTTAAAATTTCAATAGCAATTTCTTCTCATAACAAAGTTGGTATAGCTGTTTGTACATATAATAGCTGTTGGTATAGTCTTTTCTTTCCCTATTAGCACTGATGTGGAGTTGTACTTTATATAAATACATCCCATTTACTTCGTAGCTCGTGCACTTCCAAAGTGGGCTTGATGATAAAATTAGTTTAGCAAAATCAAGTAAGGCTAACACTTAGATACACATAGCTCTGATGGCCTAGTGGTAAGGAATTGCACTGCAATCACAAAGACATGTGATTAGAATCCATTAACTGCTCCCCAGAACAAGAATGGGCAATCTCCTCCCTTGAGATTTACTGCCTCTGAAAAGCCACTTGAGGATCAGCTTGATGCAATATACTAACAAAATTTTGTGTGTATGGAGAGAGAGAGAACGAACACATATATATTATATGTATATGGAACTCTGGTGGCTTACTGATCAAGGTTTGCACTGCAAACTCAAGACAGGCCATTCAAATCCAACAAATGTTCCCAGGAGAAAGATGGGCAATCTCTTCTCCATGTGACTTACAGCCTCTGTAAACCTGCTGGAAGGTCAGCTACCAGTGGGTTCCAATTTGATGGCAATGATCTGGATCTCTCTCTCTCTCTCTCACACACACACACACACACACAAACGAGGGAGCAGAGGGGTAAAGAGGGAGAAAGAACATGCAAATGAGCCCAACCACCTATGGGTGGTGTACACAGTTATGCACTCCACTTACTATCAGATGAAAGGTTGACCATGTGAACCCATCCAGAGGCAGCTTGGGAAAAAAAGGGTTGGCAATCAGGTTCTAAAAGGTTACAGCCTATATAAGACGGGCTGCCATAAGTTGGAATAGATTTGATGGCAACCAAGAACTATGTTTATATTTTAGACTTATTTCAAAGCTTCACTGAGATAAATTTTAATCCACATTTTCTTGCTTTTGTGTTTTAACCTTTTAATTACAGAATTACAATATCCTCATTCTTTTGGATGTTACTGAGTTAATGGCAGTCAACATTTTCTGGTAAATTCCTCTAAAATGTGAACATTTTATGACGTTAGAGTTCTTTCTACACCTTGAAATATATACATGCCATAATCAGAGTTGCATAGGTATCTACTTGGTGGACAGGTGAAAAGGCTCCATCATAAATATATTTCCCTCCTTGAAAACTCTTGAAAATATTCTACTTTTCTTTGTATCAACAACAATCTTTGAATGGAACAGACTTAATTTTCAGCTTGTTATATTGCATTGAAGCCTAATGTGCTCCTAAAGGCAGCAATGAATAACTTCATTTAAAATTATTACTGGACTCTGGTGTGTCCACTTGCTGTACAGAGGTAACTTGTGGTTGCTGTGAAGCTGAACACTGTGACACTGATGTGTCACATGCCTTAATGGTTATGCATGACAGTGTTTGGTCGCGATCCCTGATTAAAACAAGCTTGGAAGCAGGAGTGGCATCCACTTCTGTAACAGCTTGCTTCTGGAAACCCTATGAACCTGGAGAAAGGATGAAAGTCACACAAGTGTTGAGGGTCGCTATGAGTCGCCTATGACTCGAAAGCACTTAACAACTAGAAAAACAATAGTCAGTCCTAACTAAGAACACTGTTAAACATTTAGGATGTTAAGAGTAGAAAAAGATAAACATGCATAGAAGGAAAGACCTATATTATGCCAAATAAAACAAACTGTAAGCAACAGAAATGGGAAGGAGTAAACTGATCAAAACAGTACTAATTATTAAATCCCAAGCCCTAAGTATAAGTAGCTCTTCATATTGTTACTAATCACTCCCTGCCTTTTTGAATTCTTACTTCACAGGTTAAAAGAAATGACCAACTTAATGGTGAATCAGCTACTGTTACATCCATATTCTCCCCTGTTTACTGGTCCATGGCCAACCCAATCCAGTCTCTGAGCCTTAGATCTTTGCCCCTGTTCAGCAGGAAACACTTAGAATGAAGATATGTTGTCCTTTTTCTCACTAGAGAGTCTGGGATGTCAGGCTCAGACCAAGGTCAAAGAGGAGATGAAGAATTCAAGTAATAGCAACATGTCAACAAAGGGAGTGAACAGCCTCACCCAGCTGGCTAAATAAAAATGGAATGACCCTTCCCTCCCTAAAAGACCCTTACTATAAAAACTTGCCCAAACCACCATAGGGGGGTGGTTTTCTCCCTGGTCTGTCTCTCTCTCCAGACCAATTCCACCTGGGAGCCTCCTTAATAAAGCTTCTTTAGCTTTCTCTTAAAAACAAACAAAAACCCAAATAAAAAAGAGCACTAATTATTATTATTATTACCTAGTTCAAGTGGATAAGCTTTTATATAAAGGCTCTCATTATTCTAGTTCCAAGTCTTCTTCTAGGCAGAAATACTTTAAATAAAAAAAATTCTTAGTCTTAAAATAATGCATCTACTTTCAAATCTTTGGTAATGGCATCAACGTATATCTCTGGTGGCCTAGTGGTAGGAAGCTGTGCTGCAATCCCAAACTATACAGTTCTAATTTACCATCTGCTCAATGGGAGAAGGATGGACATCTCTCCTAGGATTTATTGCCTCTGAAAACCTGCTGAAGGGTCATCTTTGAGTTCTGACTCAATGGCACACAGTATAGCTATTATCATATAGTCAAATTCTTATTATCAAAATTTTTATTAACATTTTGAAAATTTAACATATCTTGAAACAAAAATCCTTCAATTTGAGTAACTCTTTTATCAATTCACCCAGTATTAAACTTCACCAATTTCAAGAAATGCTAAAGCTGATATTATCTGATTATAAGTCATTATTTGTATCTGTATACAAACAAATAGCTTAGTAATTTTTCATTAGAACAAATAGCTAGGGAAAAATGTGTGATAAAAACTCTTCTGGTTCACATGTTTATAAAGAAACACTGACGAATTCTACAAAGAATTTCTAGCTTTTAAGTAACCCAACTAGTTTGACTAATCTCAGTGAATAGAAACAGGTTTGGATCAGAAGATGATGGAATAAAGATGATGATTTCAATTATCATCATAAAGACTTGGAACTCAAATTACCAAAAACCTTTTTTTTTTCATGAAAATGTTTTAAAAAGAAATGCAGCAACCACAGATAAAGTCATTAAGAAGAATGATAATTGGGAAAACTAACTCTTGAATGCTATGTAACTAACACCCAGTAGAAAGAGTATGTTTTGAGTGTGCTGGCAAAAGAATACACTGGAAGGTAGGTTCTGGAATTTTTAAGTTCTTATTAGATACTATGAAATAAAACCCAAACAAAGAAAAACAAGTCTACACTCTAAATACAGGTGATCAATGTTTAATACTCTGAGGATTGTTTAAGTAACAAAACAAACCAAAAAAACAGTTTACCTGACTAGTCTTCTAAGAGTTAAAAATGAATGATTACACTTGTTGATTTAGAACCACCAGATTTTACTTATGGAAAATCTAATCATATCTTTCAAAAAGTTTTAATGTTAACACAAAAAAATTACTTCCTAACATTTCATGTTTAAAAAACTTTTCTGCAGCCTAATATTTTTATTATTTCATTACAGTACTGCAAGGCACATACAGAACTCACCTCCTTCAAAACACACAAAAGAGATATTCCCTGAAATTGAATTTTAAAATTCTGAAGCAATTAAAAATACTACAAAGTTAGCAATTTTTAGATAAAAATGTTGCTCTACAGGATCATGCACCTTTCTTGAAATCAATTCAGAACATACATATAAATAATTTTAAACACCTGTACTTGAACTGTAGATTCACTGATAATGAAGACAGCACTTAACAAAAACCTCAAAAATACTATAGCTAGATAAATTTCATGTTATTGCCCGTAAAGATTTTATCATCTCTATTATTTCCAAGGACTTCAATTTAATAGTGGTATAACTACACATTTCTTTTCACTCCTAACATCAGTTCTTTTTTAAGGATGCTAAATGATTCTTATATTTCATTCAGCAAAACTGAGGATAGAACCACTTAAAATACCTCTATTCAATATAATGCAGCTTAATTAGGGACCACATACATATTTGCTTCTGAAAGTTTTTGGTCAAGCATGTCTAACCATAAAAGCAAATGGAATTTCAAGAGGTAGATTTTTCTTTCCCATGATGCATTTTGTTAATACATGTATTGTCAAGAAAAGAAAAACAAGCACTGAGTGTGTTTTCTTAAAGTGTAAGGGTCTAATAAAAAGAAAAATAAAAGATAGATATATGTTATAGTCTGACATTTTAACAGTCATAGTACTGGATGGTTTGTGATCAGTGCATTTTGGACTGTCTTGGGATTAAAACACGAGTCTGCCAACTGTATTGAATCCTCCTCCACCTCCTCCGCCAGTTGGTCCACAGCTTCCAGGAGGGTCATTGTCATCAAATCCATTGGGTCGAAATGAACAAGAGGCAGATGCAGCCTGTAGAGCCCGGGCTCGAGCATTCAACTCTTGTTCCTGAAAGTAGAATTAATTTTTATAAAATGAAAATATGAAATAGAATGGGTGGAATAAGATAACTACAAGAATAATCTTAAATTGTTGGAATCCTTAATAAGTATTCTTCAAATCTCAGTAGCTTGACATGTTTCCCACACTAATCCTTACTAAATTCAACAATGGGTCAAAATCCCTTTGCAGATGGGAAAAGAACAAGACAAGAGCACAAAATCCTGCCCTGAAAAGTTATGACAATGGATTACCTATTATAAAACAACTGGGGTGATTTCTGAACATTCAAAGAAGTCAGAATTCTTTTCTGCCTTGTCCTCAAAATATTTTCCAGTAAATAAAAAATAGATCTCAGTGAAATGCAGTTTATGGTACAACTTAAAATTGTTCTCAATCAGATTACTTCCTTTTCTTTCTTTTTTTTTTGGGTGTACTGTTGGATCTGACTGTAACAGGAGGAGACTGCCCCTCCTTCTCCAGTGGAAAATCTGGTGGATTCGAACCATGTGCCTTCAGGAGTGCAGCACAGTTTGTTACCACTCAACCACCAGAGTTCCCTAGATTACTAGAACTTTTATTTGCCCGGAACACGACAGGTGCTCAATAAATATTAATGAAAGCAAATTAGAAAGCTATTAACCAAATTAATCTAGTTGCTGCCAATTGAATAAAAGTCACTGCTACCTCACCAACATGCTCATAAAGGTTTCAACAGCTGTGATCTTTTGGGAATAGACTGCTGAGATTTTTATTCTGAGGTATCTGTGTGTAGATTTAAACTGCCAATGTACTGGTTAGTAGTTGAATGGTTAACCATTTTCATCACCCAGAAGAAAATTAGGTAGAAACAAATGGGAATAAACAATAGCAAATTCTTTTGGCAAAGTACAAAACTGGATTTGAAAACCGAGGGCTTATAAACCTCTTAAAGGCATGCAAAGTGTTCTGACACACACTCATTTTTTCTAGGCAAGGATTTATAACTTCCCGATAGGGTCAGTGTAAATAGTGTAACACTTACAAGGTATAATCATCCTGAGTAACGAGAACTGTACTATAACCAGTTTTCTAACTAAAAAATCAGATACCTCTTAAGAAGCTACCATTATTCTGTAATTCCTAGCTAAATTCTTTAGTTAACTAATCTTCTCTTCACAAGATGTACAGTTTTTTTTTTATGTGGTAACAATTTTGACTGACTCTGACTCCTATTATTCACCTTACACTGGTTTCCTTGTGACTCAGATTATTATTGTTTATCTGTTATTTATCAAGAGGAACTTTGTTAATTATATTCTTATTTTTTTTATTACCTTGATCACAGCCATTTGACCAGATGCCAGTCTTTGGTAGTAGATTCATTCTAACAAATATCCTGAAATTTTCTGTAAAATTCTTTAGATGCTACTCTAGAACATCATTTAAACACGTATCATGTGTAGATCTGACTATTTTATAAAGCAATAAAGCAAATGTGACAATTCTGGAAATACATTCTTTTAAAAGATCAGAACTATAAATGACAATTTCTTCTCTCATTCTATTGGTTATCTTTTAGAAATTCTGCAACTTTCAAACAAAAACTATGAGACACTTAAAATCATAAAACAACTTGGACAACTTGAAAATATACGTAAGTCTTTGTAATTCCATTTACTATCAATGCTGATGTTTTATAGCAATAGCTAGTTAGCAGGTTTCAAGTAGAACATATATTCATAACTACAGAGGGCAGATTCTGGGGCTTCGTCTGACATACTTTGGACATGTTGCAAGGAGAGACAGGTCTTTGGAGAGGGACATCATGCTGGGTAGAGTGGAGGGACAGCGCAGGAGGGGAAGACCCTCTATGAGGTGGATTGATTCAGTGACTGGGGTAATAGGGATGGGTGTGTCAGAGGCAATGCGATTGGCAGAGCTTAGAGGAGGGTTTAGGGCTATTGTACATAGGGTCGCTATGAGTTGCAAATGACTCGACAGCACATAACAACAACAACAACAACAATTTATTATCTTTAAAGTAATAAAATGACTAAATCTTAAAAAAGTGAATTTTACCTCATATAAAACTTTCATTACCAATGGTTATCTTTATTAATAGTTTCATTATCTTAGTTTTATTTTCCAGATACTCAAAGAACACAAATATTCTTCTGTTATGTAGTCTATCTTTCAGTGTCCTTTACTTTAAAATTTTAAAACAAAGGTCTGGAAGAAATAAACAATACATTTAACGGTTGTTCCTCCTATGAGATGGTAGGACTTAAATGATTTTTGTTTGTTTTATTCCTTTAAATGTTTGTATTTCTCTGTATATTTTTTATACTGAGCATAACTTTTGAAGGTTTACTTTTTTGGATAGGGAAGTCTTCTATACTGAATTTACATATGCCCTGGTAGTGCAGTGGTTGCTGGTTTGAATGCACTAGCCACTCCACTGGAAAGAGATGTAGTATGCTACTGTGAAAATATGGTCTAGACACTCAGCAATTCTACACTGTTGTGTGAAGTTGTTCTATGGTTGTTGTTGTTTTTTTTTTATTTTATTTACCTGGTACTTGGATTTAGAACATTAAGACAATAATTCAATTTTACAGTGTCAGCTCATTTCATAAAAAGACTGACATTTCAGAACTATTATGTCCCTGTAAAGTTGACCAGAACTTTGCCTAATCCTGTGCTATCCTCATAACCTCTAACTTGTAACCCCTTGTTACAGTCCTGTGTCAATCCATCTCCATAACAGTATTCCTCTGATCCTCCAACTTTCCCACTATGATGATGCTTTTTTCCAAGGACTGGACCCTCCTAATAACATGCCCAAGGTATGTGACAGAGGTTTAACATCATTGCCTGTATGGAGTAACCTGGTAGTAGTATCTCCGAAAACATATAGTCCTAGAGAAAACATAAATGTTACAGTGTTAAATAAATACTTTCTACCAACATAGAAGTATATATTCTCAACTTACCTGTAAATATAGCTTATTATCTTTTGTTATAGCATCCATAAGTTCTTTCTGTAGAGGTGGGTCTCCATTTACCACAAGTCCACTGGTTGTGTTATTACCACTTAAGCCATTAGTGCTGGTCTGCTTTTTATAGAAAAGCACATAAGCTGTGTCCTTTGGAAATCTACTCGTAATTTTCTGGACAGACTGAAATGAGGTAAACGTCACTCTGCTATCATTAAATAAAAACCACTCTTTTGAAATTTCCTTTTCTTCCAAATCCTGTTCAGTAACTGCAGTGGGGCTGTCTTTCCCCAGTAAGTGACTGTGGGAAGACGCTAACACCAGAGTTTCAGATTGGTGGTGACAGAGGTGGTATACAGACTCTGTGCCTGTGATGTTTCTTGCATAAGAATAGTAATGCCCACTTTCAGAGGAGATACCAGAGTGGACCACCACAGAATTGAGTAGATAGGGTACCAACTTTGGACAGCAAGTTTCTTCAGTCCCAGAAGATTTTAATTTTTTAGCTAGGTTCTCACTAATATCAGTGAAATCAACATCAATAGACCAACTTTCTGACAATGAAGAGCAAGTTCTTTTAACTGGCAACTCCAAAATCAGTGGTAGGGACACACTGTCCAAAATTTTTCTTCTCACATGATACTTCTGATCATATGAAAATCTTAAAAGAGTAAGAATAAGATACTCAGGTTCTTCTGTGATTTGCATAGTTTTCTCAGCATTCTGTAGGGAAGCACATTTTTCACAATAATATTGGTTATCATCAGTAAGAATCTCTGGAGCTAAAAAATAATTTACTAAGTCAGTTACTGAAGGTGTAGTTTCACCTCCTGGCTTCTGAGATACATTTTTATTACTAAGAATCTTGCTAGACTCATTAGGGACAGAAGTGTTTTCAGTACAGCGAAGCTCATCAGGAAGAACACCTACTGATCTTTCATTCTCAACTGAGTCATGGACAAAGGCAGTTATTGCTGGATTATAATCTACTGAGTCTTCAGAAGGACCAGATGCACTGGCTTGCATTAAAGTTTCATCTTGTGCATTAGGCAACAATACTGGATCTTGAAAAGACAAGTTTTCCACAGAAGAGGAAGGACAAAAGGCAAGTGAGAGATCTGTGAAGGCTTCCACTTTTTGTGAGGTACTCCTGCAGTTCAAACAGCATATGTGAGTTTGTAGCTTTCCCCCAAACATTTTTTCTATTAAAGTCTTCTCTTCATCACTTGTGCAAGTCGTCTTACTGGCTACTTCTTGTAAGGAAGTTTCACCACACCCCAGACTTTCAGAAGGCTTGTGCAAACACTGAGCTTTCAAGAGCTTCTCTTCTTCATGAAGCCTACAGGAGAGTGTATCATTATAGAATAGGTTTCAATAAGTTATTGCTTTTAAAAAATATTCACGTCTTATATAATAGCTTTTTAATTTGCATCATGCATAATCCTAAATGTTAACAAAATCACATTAGTTCAAAATCACTGGCAAGAAAAGAAATGCAAATTAAAACCACAATAAGATACCATCACACCCTAGTAGCAGTAGCAAAGTTTAACAGGACAGCAAGTAATTTATGTTGGGGAGGATGCAGAGAGATTGGAACTCTCATGCATTGCTAGTGAGATAGTAAAAATGGTACAACCACTATGAAAGGCAGTTTGGTGTTTCTGCAGGAAAGTAACTGAAGAACTAAATACTTTTTGTCATTTTGTTTGGTTTCTATCTATCAATATTTATGGTATCACAAAACTGAGAAATGTTAAACATATATATTAAGCCCACCATATATTGTTATAAATAACATTTTTTAATGGAAAAATGTGAAAGCTTCTAAAATACATGCGATGATGACACTTTACATTTAACAAACATTTTAAACTTTAATTGAAGATGGTTGATCTTCATTCTTGTTTATGCACTCAATCTAGTAATTCTACTGTTTTGGATTAGGTATATGAAGAAAATCTGGACTGACACAGAAGTGTGAAAGAGAAGATCTTTAAGACTGACTGAAAGCATTATAAGAAATCCCAAAGGTCCTTGAACCATCAACAGTTCTGAAAAAAGCTAGTCTACTCATATGCAAGTTCAAGCTGAAGCTGAGGAAAATGAAAACGAATCCACAGGAACCAAAATATGACTTTGAGTCTATCCCACCTGAATTTCAGAACCATCTCAGGAACAGGTTGGAGGCCTTGAACACTAATGAGTGAAGAACAGATGAGCTGTGGGAGGATATCAAGGGTATCATCTAGGAAGAGTGCAAACAAACGATCATTGCAAATACAGAAGAGGAAGAAAAGACCAAAATGGATGTCAGAAGCGACTCTGAACATTGCACTGGAGCCCAGAGAAGCCAAAGCAGAAGGAAGAATTCAACATATTGAAGAACGGAATGGAGGATTTCAAAAGGCAGCATGGGATGACAAAGTAAAATATTACAATGAAATGTGCAAGGAGTTAAGAGTCAAAAAATCAAAAGGGCTGAACTCGTTCAGCATCTCTTAAGCTCAAGGAACTGAAGAACAAATTCAAACCTCGAGTTGCTATAATCAAGGATGCTTCAGGAAGAATATTAATTGATCCAGGAAGTATTAAAAGAAGATGGAAAGAATATACTGAGTCACTGTATTGAAAGGAATTGGTAGACATAGAAGAATTTCATGAAACAACATATGAGCAACAGCCTATGGTGATGAAGGAAGTAGTTCAGGCTGAGTTGAAGAAAATAGCAAAAAATAAGACCCCAGGAATAGATGGTATACCAATTAATGTATTTCAGCTAATTTCAATTAATGTATTAATGTATTAATGTATTCCAGCTAACAGATGCTGCCCTGGACGTGCTCACCAAGTTATGCCAAGAAATCTGGAGAACAACCACTTGGCCAACTGACTGGAAGATTTGTTCCCATCCCAAAGAAGGGTGACCCAACAGAGTGTGGAAACTATAGAACAATATCACTGATTTCACATGCAAGCAAGATTCTACTGAAGATTATCCCAAAACGACTGGAATAGCACATCAGCAGAGAACTGCCAGAATTCCAGGCTGGATTTAGAAGGGGTCATGGTACTAGGGATATTGTAGCTGATGTTAGATGGATCTTAGCTGAAAGCAGGGAATACCAGAGGAATGTCTATCTGTGTTTCATTGATTATGCAAAGACACTTGACTGTGTGGATCATAACAAACTGTGGCTGACTCTGAGAAGAATGGGAATCCCAGAACATTTAATCATGCTAATGTGAAAGCTATACTTGAACCAAGAGGCAGTCATCAGAACAGAGCAAGGAAACACAGCCTGGTTAAAAATTGGGAAGGGTGTACACCAGGGATGTGTCCTGAGTCTCCCTACCTTTTCAACCTGTATGCAGAACAGATTCCAGAGGCTGGGCGCTATGAGGAGAAATGTGGCGTCAGAATTGGTGGAAGATCTATCAACAATCTGTGTTATGCAGATGACACAACCCTGCTTGCTGAAACTGAGGGGGACCTGATGCTCTTGTTGCAGAGGGTCAAGAACTGCAGCTTTCAATATGGATTGAGGCTCAATGTCAAGAAGACAAGGAGTCTCACCACTGGACCAATTGGCAGCATCAGGATTGATGGTGAAGAGATCGAGATTGTTCACTGCTTTAGTCTGCTTGGCTCCACAGTCAACATTCTTGGCACCAATAGTCAGGAAATTAAAAGATGCATTGCGATGGGAAAGTCTACTGTTAGGGACCTCTCTAAAGTACTAAAGAGCAATGGTGTCTCTCTGGAGACTAAGGTGCGTCTGATATAGGCCATGGTCTTTGCAATCACTTGTTATGCATCAGAGAGTTGGACAATGACTAGGGAGGACAGAAGGAGAGTGGATGTTTTTGAGCTGTGGTGCTGGAGAAGGGTACTGAATGTACCATGGACTGCCAGGAAAACAAACAGATTCATCTTGGAGAGGATTAAACCAAGCTGCTCCTTGGAGGCAAGGATTCTGGGGCTTCGTCTGACATACTTTGGACATGTTGCCAGGAGGGACGGGTCCTTGGAGAGGGACATCATGCTTGGGAGGGTGGAGGGACAGCGCAGGAGGGGAAGGCCCTCTGGGAGGTGGATTGATTCAGTGACTGGGATAATTGGAATGGGTGTATCAGAGACAGTGCGATTGGCACAGGACAGAGCAGAGTTTAGGGCGACTGTACATAGGGTTGTTATGCGTCACAAGAGATTCGACTGCACATAACAACAACAAGAAAGAAAACAAAATAGAAAAAAACAACCAACAACAACAAAAGAAAATCCAAAAAAGAAATAAAACTCGAAAAAGCCAAAGAAAATTGTAATAAGGTATTAGATACCATTGAGTCAACTACATACAACTCATAGCAACACTAGGAACAACAGATCTGAATTTTGTCCTATCCTGTTGTCCTTATAATCTCTGCCATGGTTGAGATTGTTTAAATAGAAAAAAAAAAAGTATATAGAATAAATACATGGTATTTACGATTAACACTTGAAATATTTTAAAAGGAAAAAAAATTTCTATAGAAATAAATTGCTTTTAAGAAAAGACATTTTAAATTGAAACTTAAAAAAAGAACTTTTACCTGTCCAGTAGAAACCTGAGGTATTCAGAACAGTCTTGCTGTGATCGAGGAGTAAACCATGGAGGTCTGGAAGCTTCAAAGAATATTCGAGGTGCATATGCTTCTCTCTTTGGTAGTAAGAGAAAAAAACAAGGTAGTAATTTTTATGATATGACCAAAATGACTTACATCTCAAAGATTACTTCAATTTACAATTTTTCTCAAATGGAGTCAAACATGAGAACAATTTAGACAATGCTTAAATTAGCTGAAAAGAAATCTGCAATCTTTAGTCATAACATCTCACACTGCTAATGAGACTTGAGATCTAGAGAAACTATGACTTGCCTAAGGCCATAAAATTAAGTTAGTAACAGAAGGAATGACATTTTTTTTCTTAAAAAAAAAGCCAAACATTCTGACTTAATACCAGATTTCTGAAATTGACAGTCATGTACTTGAGTACAAAATTTTTTAAAGAAACACAAATCTGAAAAGAAGCTCTGGTGACCTAGTGCTAAGAAACTGTGCTGCAATCCCAAAGACGTGGTTTAAATCCACCAGGTGCTCCACAGGAGGGGCAATCTCTTTCTACGTGATTAACTGCCTCTGAAAACACAGGAGAGTCAGCTATGGGTCAGTCTGACTCAATGGTACACACACAAGAATCTAAAAAAGATGTGTTAGAGAAAAGTACATTTCATAAGGTAATAAAATACTATATATGGCTATTTGTACTTGTAATGAAATGAGTGGCTTTTTTGCCTTTGTTCTTTGGATAAATATCCTGAAATACTTTTTTGCCTCAATCACAGGAAATTATCTTTCTACTAGTCTACTCCAAAAGGTTTCCTAAATCAACTTAGGTTCACTGCAATTTCCTGTGCAAGCTGTAAATAACCTATATTTGCTACGTTTTGTTTGATTCTGAGCTACGCCTGCTCTTGTTCGGATGCTCTTTGCAGGGAATGGTCAATAGTTTATGCAAATAAGGTGACTTGCAGCCTATTAGTCAAATGCAGTGACCTACCAAGAAGAGGATGGTCTTGTAGGTACTGTCATTTGTTGGAGTCTATACATCAGCCAGTACCAAAGAGCTACTTTAAAGGCAAACACAACAAGAGAGTAGGGAGGGGAAAACCCCCTTTTAAAAAAAAGTTCACATGTAACACATTAAAAGGCTGTAACACAGACAGAGAGGCTTGGAAGGAGACAAGTGCCGAACTAGTAGTTATAGATATCAGAGTCAAAGGGAGGCTGTCCCAGGGATGCTGAGGGCAGGCTTGCTGGCTATGAGGAGCTGACATTTTGCCTTTTGTTACGAGGTGCTTTGTAGTTGACTATGACTCACAGCAATCCTATGAACAACAGAATAAAACTTTGCCCTGCCTGAACCACCCTTCAAATCTCTGCCATGGTCATCATCATTTCAGTCACTGTGCCACTCCATTTCATTGAGGGTCATCGTCTTTATCACTGACCCTCTACCTTTCCCAGAATCAGGTCTTTTCCCAAGGCCTGGTACTTCCTTACAACATGCTCAAAGCAGATGGAATGAAGTTTGACTATCCTTGCCTCTAACAAGCAGACTGGTTGCACTTTCTTTGAGATGGATTTGGTTTTATGGCTGGCCACAGTATAGTCAATGTACTAAAATCACAATTCAAAACCATCAATTTCTTCTTTGATGTTCCTCATTCACAGTCCAACTTTCACTTGCATATGAAGCACATGAATGTCATATCTTAGCTTAGGCACATCTTGTGTGTTAAAATGACACTTTAAAAGACCTTGGCAGCAGTTGCCAGATGCAACGTATCTTTTGATTTTACTGCTACCATGTTATTGATTGAAGATCCAAGCAAAACGAAATCTTTCACAACATCAATCTTTTCTTCATCGATCATGACACTGTCTATTGGTCTAATGGTGAGGAATTCGGTTTTCTTGATGTTGAGGTATAATCTAGATTAAAGGCTGTAGTCATTAATATTCTTCAGTGAAAGCTTTAAGTCTTTATTTCATGAAGCAAGGCTTGGGTCATCTGCAGAGTACAGGTTATTGAAGCAATCAGTATCCTGATCTTTAATCAATTACTACTTCCCACTCTAAAAGGAATCACAATAGAAGATTCCTGACAGAATGGGTAAAAAAATTCAAAATAAAAACAAGAGTGTATATTGACCAGAAAGAGACACAGCAGCCTTGAGACTATAATTCTTTGTCATCCTTCAAGGCCACAATGGAATTCATCTTGTAGTTCAACTTTCAGCTAAACAATACAGTTTTACAAGATGATGAATAATACCAAGAATGAACATACTGCTGGAACAACCCATGATGCAAGAGCATTTGTCCAGGGATAAAGCTCAGAGGGCAGGAAAGGACATGAAAGAATAACTGGAAATGGGAAGCACAAGAAAAAGTGCTGTTATAATGTGGAGACTGTAATCAAGGTCATCGCAAATAATGAGCACGAGCAACTGAATGGAAAATCAACTTGCTCTGTAAACTTTCACTCAAATCACAGTTATTAAGAAGAATGGGAAGTCTAGAGAAGAAACAGAAACTTAAGATTGTACCCTGATAATTAAATATTTTAGGTAATATCGCTAACATTTTAAAGCATTATTTCAGGTATGATAAATACTATTTCAGTTAAAAGGCTTTGCCAAGCTAAAAAAAAAATAATAATTATAAAACTGGTATCAATGTAATTAATATATACATATACTCACTTGTGTATGAGCCAGAAAGGCAAAAAGATGCTGTAACTTCTTCATTAATGAATTGCACCCATTTAGATTTAAAGATAATACTTGTCTCCTGAAACTGAGAGAATAAAATATACTGATTTATGTGTACACACACACACACACACTCTCTCACACACATATACCCGTATCTCTTTTTTAATTAAAAGTCAGAAGGAAAATTAGTTCAAGAACTATCCTTAAATTAAAGCAACACTTCCTTGGTGGCCTTTTACTTAGCAAAGTTACCTACGTACAGTGCAGTGAAAGAAAGGGGAGAAAGACAATAAGCTGTTCCTTAGTCTGTATGCTGGCACTGATCTGTGTATTTTATTCCTATTTTTCTGGATTAGCAAACAGAGATAGTCTATTTATTATCTTACAAAATTTATTCTTTCCCTTCCTTATTCTTCTGCTGATTTAACTAGGAAAAATGTTGCTACATCCACACATGAGAAATATGCATTTTATTTGTAGTATGGTAAAATAGCTAATGTTTACTTTAATCATGTTATGGTAAAATATACGGTGGTTATTTTCCCATACTATAAATGTGGAACCATTAAATGTTATTAAATCATGTTTGGTATTTGTTTTGAGGGTACAGAGCAACATATTCAGAAAATTTTTCTAAAAGAAATGTGCCGTATAAGCTACAATTCAGTTACTATTTTCACTTTCAGAATAAATGATGTCTTGCTGGTTAAATATGTAAAAATAAACACTGGTGGTACAATGAGTAGTGTAACAAGTTTATATCAAAAGGTCAGCAGTTTGAACCCACAAGCTGCTTTGAGTGAGGAAGGGCAGTCTTTTTCACTACTATTTTACAACTCTGGAAAACTGACAGGGGTTCACTGTGCATTTGAATCAACTTGATGGCAGTGGGCTTGGTTTTGGTTTGGCATGTAAATAATTATATTCACAGAACTGGAACATTTGTATCAAAATAATTTGTATATAAAATTTAAAAGGTCATTAATATTACCTTGGATAGTAACAAAATCAAAACATTCACTCACTCTCTTTGCCTAGAGCAACTGGCTCTTATTTCTCCACTAAAAACTTGTAGAATTAAGGGGCAAAGAGTGCTAAAAAGCAAAAAAAAAAAAAAAGAGCTAAATATTTTATGTTGTTAGATACTGCTGAGTCAGAACCAACTCACAGCTGACTATAGACAGCATGTGAGGAGAGAGCCCATCGTTCTCCCATGGAGAGCTGGTAGATTCAAACTGCCTCTGTTTGGATCAGCAGTGTAAGTCCTTACCCACTAAACTACCACAGCTCCCTGGGTGTTTTCTAGGGCTTGTCTTTTACTTAACTCTACAATTTAACTTATAGCCAGAGTTCTGCAAAATGTAGTACTTAACACTGTGAAATATTTTCAGTGGTAGGTCTGTAATTACCAAAAAGTGATCAACATACTTTTTCCCCCCTGTGAAGTAACTAGCACACAAAAAGAAAAGGAACTACTTCTTGTAAGATGTGATCTTAATTTCTCACACTATTCCAGTGTGGTTGGGCATCTGGGCTGTTTCCAAGTTCTTGCTATGGTCAATAGGCTACTATGAACATTGGTGTATAAGTCTCTGTTCACAAAATGGAATACTATGCTGCACGCAGGAGCAATGATATTGTAAATTACTACCTAACAAGTGGGACTGGAGAGCATTATGTTAAGTGAACTAACTCTGTTTCATAAAGACAAATATTGTATAAGACCATTATTGCAGAGCATGTATGAGGATCTAGGAGGGGGGGGCACTTAAATATAGGGCCCCACAATTTGATGGCCGTAAGGAGGGACTGGTAAAGGAAAGGGGAAAGGTCCACTGTGAAAAACAATATATATGAACTTTGTGTGTAAACCAATATAAAACTTTTTTTT